TCTATTCAATTAATTAGAAATTGAACAAATCATCCACCGAAATCCCAATTCGATTACAATAGCTTAAAATGTCTTCTATGAAATATCATTGTTATAGAAATTGCAACTTACGAACGAGAGAGAAGAGCCTGACTAGTATAGCTGTCAGTAAAATACTCCTCAGCTTGCAACGCGGAGACGGTCTTGGAGGCGGAGAAGACCTCTTGCGCCAAAGACGCACCCTTCACACTCTTCCGTGTCACCTCTGCGCTCCACGTCTGCATCTGGAATGGTAACACCGATTTAAGACCAAGCACATGTACGCATCTGTGTACCTCTTCAGTACAACACGGATCTGCTCAATGTCGCACAGATTTAACACCTCACCACTCCTACACTTGTAACAGCATACACGTGCCCATTCTATGACAGGCAATGCCATCTTCATTGGCTAGACATTAGCCAAGATGTGCAAAAGGCAAGGAATCTGCCCTAGATGCATGAACCTTTACTGACTCCATACTAAGAATTATGACAAACGAACCTCGAAAACGCCAGCAATGACTAGAATAGGAAAGTAGGCGAGAGACACAAGGGCGATTTGCCAGCTGAAGAAAAAAGCGATGAAGAGAGAGGAGACGATGAAAACGAATGTCTCCAACATGGACGCCAACCGACGACCTGTCATGTTCTGCAACGTCGGTACATCAGCAGCCAGCCGACCCGCAAGAGCGTCCGGCTGATTCTCGGGAATGTCGAACCATCCAACCTCCTTCAAATGGGAAAAAACGATGTGAAGACGTTGGCTAAGACAGTTCTACTGTCCTCCATTCACACGACTGCTTATACATCCATTCAGTTATTGCTTTATTTTACCCGTGATATGCACTTGCCGAGGCCCAACTATGAATATGATGATCTGATGAACCATTGGCCTCTACAGAGATGAACATGGCCAAATATGCCAGCGGCCACTCGTACAGAGACGTTGCTTTCAACTCGGTACTACTAGATAGTACCGCACGGTCACTGATCTGCAATATGTCAGACTGGATTGCCCGCCTTCAGTGCGAACGCCTCCAACCTGCACGTGTACTAGTACTACGGCCATTTCCACAATTGCTTCACGTGTGTGCGACCCACAAATTACCTACTTGTCTGTCCATCAATCCATCCGTCCATCCCCTTAACTTATCACAAATCGTACATTCCAACATGAACTAATTTTGCGCGTTGCCCATACCGTCAGGCAAACTACATGCGGCCAACAATCCGACTAATACCCTCTCAACATTCCACACATACCCCTGTCAATTCATTCAGCCATTCGTTCTATTATCCATCCAATCATCCATTCAATCGTCCACAGATCTAACCATCAATCCATTCATTCATTCAACTATTAATCCTGCACCCGCAAATCTATCCACGAATAGGATGAACCACTGAAGCAGTTCCAAAAGAAGTCCAACACAAATTATGGTGCAATTCAAAGATTGACGGTAAAGCAGTTACCCACACTCTCAAGACAATGGGTTAACTCACCTGTTTGAGAATGGTCTCGAAGAGCAGGATTCGACATCGTGTTGTCAAACGCTCACCTGCCACACCGAAAGCATAGCCCTGGTAAATTTCAGAAAAAAAGGCATTCGCATAAGGGGAAGAAGGATCATGTATCAAGCAATCATCCATCGTGTGTTGTGGTTTACAACTTTGACACATTACCATATTGCAAATGAGTGAGGAATAACCCAGGCAGGTGGCAAGGTAAGGCAACACTTAAACGACGGAAAATCGACCCTCAAAGAAATGCACTCCGATTCCCCAGGATTGAAGTCGTCACTCCCCACTGACAGATGACCGGGATGTCGGAAGACTGTGTAAAAAGTAAACACAGTTCCTTTCCCTAGGGAACAACATATTCGTACATTTAGTCGAAAACAAATGTAGGGAAATACACCTACGAAAATTTACTAGCATGCGACGTCTTTTATCGGTAGAGGAGTTAACAGATGGCATTTATCAGAATCTACGAGATGTATTACCACCTTCAAATTCAGGCGTCCCCTTCTTGCTGTGATGGCTGATGGGGATGAGTAACCACATGAAACGCTAGAGACGACATATACAGAAAATGAAAACCACGCAGCAAAGAGCAAGACTAAATTCTTTGCAAAATACCATCTGCCTCAGTATTACCATCCAAGTGAATCTCCATCCCCAGTCATTAGCATTTGACGGATGGGTTGTATCAAAATGCACGCTCTAGAGCGGGTGTGTGGACGATTTCGATGTATCCACCGATTGGCAGTGTTGCTGTTGTTATTGCAATGGCCGGCAGAGAATGGTGCACTACAGCCGGGAGCATCACAGCAGACAATCAAAACAAGAAGAGGTCGCACAGCACCCCCCCCCTCACTCCTCTTAACCTTCACTTCTATGCTCACCTAACCAAATTACTCCAAATTTAAACGCTTGCGCTTCAAAGCACCCCTGTAATCAACTACCCAGGTATGTTGGTGCCAGCAGGGTGGAATATGTCCAGTATCAAACATTCGTTATAGCATGACATAAAGTAGTAACTTGGGGACTAACAAAAGAACAGACAGCAGGTGTGTCGTTAAACTCACAATTGACCGAAAATGCTCAGCCTACAAATGCCACAAAATACGAACCCAATATTTGACGCTCAGAGACACTAAGTTGGCGCCGATTTCTGGCCAGGCTTTCCTGAAGGAGGCTGACCGGGAATAATGGGGAAGATGAAGCAACGGAGTAATAAAAGACTTACATCAAGAGTATAGCAGATGAGGTGAATGGCGACTAGACCACCGAAAGCGCCACAAATGATGGAGGTACGATAGAATCGTGTTTGGGGGTCGTCCACAAGGAGGATCTGCAAAGAAGGGGAAACGAAGGAATAAGGTTAAGTGTACAACTGTGCCTGCGCCTACCTCATTCCACTTCATCACATTCAGTATACTTGCCGGACATTCGTGACCCCAATATATTCATTCAGGCGTCGGCTAGTCCATCTGGTCAGCCAATCCACCAACTGGAACACTCAACATTTCTGCACTGATACGACCCAGAAGTGAAGTCACGGACACATACACACCTAACCTCTTAAATTTATCAACAAATCGCCATTTTTTCTTCCACCTTTTTATGTAAAGCGATCTGATAATGGAGAACCAAATCTAATTCAGTCCAATATGCTCGCTACCACAGTGCCATTTGCTTAGTACGCCCCAATTTTCACACCTAAGCATCCACAACCCACGCATGTGCAACGTATTCGTTATCCGGCCATTTCAATTGGTTGCATCAAAGGACTCGACACACATGGATTAGCATAGTTTTGAATAATACACATATTCCGCCAACAATAGTGGTCAA